CCCGCAGCCCAGCCCACTGCCCGTACTGTGCCTGCCTCCTCCTCTGTTCATTTGTCCTCTGCTTGTAGGCTGACCCCTGTGTGCTAAATATTAAATGGGCATTTCACCTTCAAGGGGCTGATATACACTGGTGAGTCATTTCCCTCTTCCCTGTCCTGCCTGAGCTCCACACGGACCCATTTATTACTGCACCGGAGTACATGACTGCTAAATGGTCCAGAAAGCTGTGGTGGCTACAATGTTCTGGTGTTACATGAGGAGTAGGAATTTCAAGAAAATAGCAAAGTATTGGGAGCTCTGGTGGCATAGTACCTAAGGCATTTGACTGCTAACCAGAAGGCTGGTGGTTCAAACCCACCAGCCACTCCTTGGAAGGAAGGCTGGGCAATCTACTTCTGTAGAGATACTGCCTCAGAAACCCAAGGAGGAGTTGCTATGAGTTGGATCTGACTCGATGGCAGTGAGTTTGGTTTTTTTTGTGTGTGCAAAGTATTTGGGGTAACCTAAAGAGATGAATTTTTTTACTAGTAAGACTAACAAAGCAAAATGATATGCAGTATGTATGCTGTTTGTAACTTTAGGATGCAACTTTTTCTGAAAAATTACATGCAGCATGAACTCTTAAGATACATAACAGCATAAGCCCATTAAAGAACTCCTTAGCACCCTGCAGTGAATCCTTTCTAAAAACAGACTCTCCTTGCAGTGTTAATACCCACCAAAACCCACTGCCAACAAGTCGATTCTGGCTCATAGCTACTTATAGGACAGAGCAGAACTGCCCCAAAGGGTTTCCAAGGCTGTAAATCTTTATGGAAGCAGACTGTCACATCTCTCAAACCACTGACCTTTCTGTTAGCAGCTAAGTGCTTTAACCACTGCACCAGCAAGGCTCCTTGCAATGTTAATAACAAGCTCCTAATTGACCACCTTTATAGCCTGGGATCTGGGCATCCCACTGTGGTCTTTAGAAGCCCAGGGTGCCACCGTAGTGCCTCAGATGCTCGCTCCTCCGCAGCTCCACTTGTTTTATACACTGGGTTTTGTATAACATGCCGGCAATGGGAAGAGGCAGGTGGTGGCATGGAGAGTCCATAGGAAGCTGGCAGATCCAGAGATGGGCACATCTGTAGGACATGCCTTGTGGTGCTCCTCTTACTAGTGGTAGATATCTGACAGATTCTTCATTTTTTGCCCAGTTTTCTTTGGAGCCACCAGCAAAACATACCTGTGAGAAGCAGACTGATGTTTAGGATACAGTCTGTGGCTTTCACCCATTTAGGACTGGAAGCTGAGCCACATACCATAGTGGGAACTGTGTTCTCCCACATCCAACTGCAGGGAGCCAGATGGAGGAGGTCCCTCGAGAGGCCATATGCTTCAATGCGAGATATCCAAGAAAAGACTGTGCAAGGGCAGCAGGAATGCTGGGCAGGAGTTTCCTCCCCTTGCCCTGGTTTCACAGGCCTTCTATCAACCAATGACTTGCATGCTTCACTCTCCAATCCTGATCCTCCACAAGCCCAGTCTTGACTTTCTGTATGTGCCTCCTCCAGACTTTCCCATTCAATAAACGGCACCATCAATCCCTAGCTGCTCAGGCCAAGACTCTGGAAGGCATTCTCTGCATCCATCTCCATTCTGTCAGCTCTCAGAACAGTGGTTCTGAGGCTGGCTCAACAGGAGAGTCACCTGGGAGCTTTAAAGCATCCCAATAGCCAGGGCCCCTGGACCAATTACAGCAGAATCTAGGGAGGGTGCCCAGGCATCAGTACTTCTGAAAAGCTCCCAGCGGATTCTAATATGCAATCAGGTTTGAGAACTACTGGCTTAAAACATTCCAAATCCAAGCGCTTCTATCCAGTCTCACTGCTTCCCACCACCATCTCTTATATGGACCGCTGCAATACCTCTCCTCTCCCTCCTTCTACTCACCCACTCTAAACCCCCATCACCTGCACAATCCATTCCCTTTTTAAAACCAGACTTCATCATGCCTCTCTGGTGGCTTCCCACTGCACCAGGAATAAAGTTCTAAGTTCTCATGAGGCTTACGAGGCTCCACATGATCTGGTTTCTGCAGCCCTCACCAGCCTCTTCCAGCATCCCTCACTTGCTGTGCCTTGGCTGCACTAGCTTTAGTCCTGTGTCTCAAACATGCCAAGCACGTTCCTGTCTCTACCTGTTCTCTCCTCTGCCTCATAGGAGCTCCTTGTGCCTGGCTTGCTGCTTCCTGTCATTCGTGTACCACCTCAGAGAGGCCTTCCCACTCCACTCTAGGAAAGGCACCAGCACACCAATCTGCTTATTGTCTTTAAAGCACTTGGCACTTTCTGAAATTACCTATTCAGTAAGTCTTTACTATCCACGTGCTCCATGAGAATGCGAGCTGCCAGAGGCAAGGATTTCTGTCTTGCTCACAGCTGTAGGCATTGCTCAGAAGGAAACCTCTCACCTAGTAGGGCTCAATGAACATAGTCACCCACTTCATTCCATTCATCAGTGCCCCAGGGCTCTTCCTCATTCCTGCCAGAGGGATCTTTGTAAATTGACAGGGGATCTCCTCACTCTTCACTCTTACCTCCTCACTTTAACATCTAAAATTCTCAAGGGCTCCAGGCTGCCCTTCATCACCTGGACCCCACCCTATTTCTTTAGTATCCCTCCCACAAAGCAAACAAAATCAATTTTGACTCATAGCAACTCTGTAAGATGAGTAGAACTGGCCCGTAGGGTTTCCAGGAGCTCTGGTGGTGCAGTGCCTAAGGTATCTGACTGCTAACCAGAAGGTTGGCAGTTCAAACCCACCAGCCACTCCATGGAAGGAAGACTGGACAACCTGCTTCTGTAAAGATTTACCACCTCGGAAACCCGACGGGCGTCACTGTGAGTTGGAATCGACTTGATGGCAGTGGGTTTGGTTTGGTTTTGGAATCTTTATGGAAGCAGATGCCATATCAATCTCTGGTGGCGTAGTGCCTAAGGTATTTGCTAACCTTCTGCTAACCAAAAGGCTAGCGGTTCAAACTCACCAGTCACTCCTCTGAAGGAAACAGAGCAATCTACTTATGTAGTAATACTGCCTCAGAAATCCAAGGAGGGGTCACGATGAGTTGAATCCGACTTGATGGCAGTGAGTTTGGTCTGGTTTGGTTTTGGAGTGGCTGGTGGGTTCGACCTGCTGGCCTTTTGCAGCAGCTAAGCTCTAAACCACTGTCCAGCAGGGCTCTTGTGGTATTCCACCTACACTACCACCTAAACCCATTTTCCTCCTAAGTTCTCACCATTCCATACTGCTCCTGTTCCCTACAGGAGCCACACTCCCACATTCCTCTGCATCTTTGTGCTCCTTCTGTTTTCAGTGTCTTCCTGCTTCACTGCCTTCTACCTAACCTGCCAACTTCCACTGCTGACAAGACTTAGGATCACCTCTTCCAGGCAACCTGCCATCATAGCCACCTCTTTCTAGATTGGTTAAAGTTTCCTCCTTTGCTCTCCCACAGTAACCACTCCTTCTCCCAGAGCCTTCATCTCATGGTCCAGCTTCACCTATCTTTTCCTCAACACAGAGGCACCTTGAGGGCAGAACAATGCCCAGGACTTAGTAGAAAACAGAAGCTGAGCAACATAACGTCTTTGCCCTTGTGTCTCTAGTAGCCAGGGACTCATAAAACTTTTTGAATCAATCCTTAACTTGTTTTCAGCATGACCAGGATGAAGTTACTGGGAACACTCTTTATAAATATGTGTTTTGGCGCATCTACAATTACAACTAGGTACTTCATTTCCTTCGGGAGTTGGCTGCTCAAAGACCCCATAAGGAGTGCTTGTTGTTGTTGTTACTTGCCGTCGAGTCACCCCCGACTCATAGCGACCCCTCCTTGGGTTTCCGAGGCAGTATCACTACGGAAGTAGGATTGCCCAACCTTTAAGGAGTGCTGACACCGGGCTAATAGGCCCCTGCCTGCCGTTGTTTGCACTCCTTCCTGAGGCAGGAGGCGCCTGCGTGAAAAGAGGTGCTGCACTGTCTTGACCAGTGGCTGACATGTAATTGAGCCAGGAAAGCTGCCTTCCCTTGGGACAGATTAGAAACCCACCACCTGAACCAGCAGGAAATGGAGACCATTGAGAAGGTAACTGGTGCAGGACCCCTTCATCTTTACAGCACTCTCCCTGGGGATCACAGAAATGAAATTGATGGGACCAGTGCCATTAGTAGTGCTGGCTTGCTTTCCTTTTCTTAATTTAAACACACATGTCCTACACACTGAAACAATTAGGCCACAAGAAGTCTTTATCAAATAATATACTCTCTCGCTTTTCCTATACAAGATAATGAACAGGGGTGAGGATTTAACACTAGGGTTCACAGACATTCAATAGCCACTTGCACAGCTAGGTATATTTAGCTAAGTCATCAGGTGGGACACTACTACTTCACCCACAGATATTCACCAACAGGCATTTGCTGTGGCTTGAAACAGGCTTGTCTAGTTTTTCAGGAAAAGATGAGCCTTGCCCAAACAAAGTGAAGGCCATTTCCATATAAGGTTTCTGGGATTAGATATGGCTTTAATTTCAAATCTACCTAGCTCCAGTCCTATATTCACAGGGAAGCCCCATGCTGACCCATCAAGACTCACTTCCCCAGCATGCTTTCTGCTCTTAGCATCTGGGCCTGTCTCCACGGTCATCTGATTGCACCTTTCTAACTAAAGGCTAGGTTTCCCCAAGACCAAACCCCTCCCACGCCAGCTCCAATGTATACACAGTATCATTCAACCAAGAAGGATAGGCTGTGATACAGATGTTGTACCTTCATCCCTAGTCAGAGTTCCACGGAACTCTGAACAAGTGGGCCTGAGTCCGCTCTCTCACACCAGCCCTGGCTCTCCTATTCTCCATATTCCCAAGGTCCAGGAGGATCATGTGTGCTGTGGCCGTGCCAGGGCCAGAGGAGGAGAGAGTGGGCTGGTCAAAACAAGCCCAGACATACTCACAGGGTCCGTCAGCATGGCCCGGCAGTGGGAGGCCAGGGCCAAGAAGGCCAGCAGGTTGAACACAATTCCATTGATAACGCTGTACACGTAGTCTCGGGATGGAATCAGCATGACAAAAAGGACCACAAACTCCGCGTAGAGGACCAGAAACCAGGTGACGATGGCACAGGCGATGCCACAGCCGTCGCGGATAAACCACATGGTTCCCACAGGACCAGGGTGGGGAGGTGGGATGCACTTCTCCGGCTGGAGGTATTCTGGTTTCCGCTCAATGTCTCGGAAGTGGTGGGCGGGGATAAGCATCATAAGCTATTTTGTCCATACTGGCATCTGGAAGAAAGAGGAAAGAACCTGGAAACTTGGTGTTGTCTTGTCATCAAGGAGACTTTCAAAGTGAACCATGAGTACCAGTATGGGAACCCTGCAGAAAAGCTGCCTAAATATCTTGTTCATTGAAAATGAGTTTTCTTCCCGACTCCTGAAAGTTAACTTAACCTTGGTGAAACAGAGTAAATGACAAGGGACACTCCAAAGGTTAAGTGCCTTCCCTAGGTCAGTTGGAGCATCAGCAGCAGACACAGAACACCAACACAGAGGCAAGACTAGAACCCACATTAGAGACCTACTGGGCAGAGAGTGTTTCAGTAGCGTGTTTAAAGTTTGGATTAAGAGAAAGTGAGAGAGAGTGAGTGAATGAGTGAGAGAGAGAGAGAGAGTGAGAGAGAAAGAGAGAGAGAGAAACAGAGCAAACTAAGTCCTCTAGGAAACTTTCTTCAGCAGCAGCACCAATGCCTCTATAATATGGCCAAAGTTAGGAGACTGACGTTGAAGCTGTTTGGGGTTAACAGGGTTCAGTAGGAGGAAAACAGTGGTTACCCAGGACCAGTGTTAAGCTGCAACTACTGGCCACACATTAGCTAATGATAAAGACAAAACAGTTACCAGATGGCGAAGGCTTTGAAAGCAGCCAGTTTTTGGTTCTCTTTTGTTGTTCTAGTTCTATTGGCCAAAATGGTTTATATTCCAGGGATAAGTAATTCTCTGAGCTCAGCTCTCCTTATAGGTGATGGAGAAAAGTGTAGGGACTGTTAAGACATTGAGTCCAAAGACATTTTTCCACAGCCACCTGGCTGTGGAAAAATGTTTCCATATTCTATCTTTGGTGACCTCCTCACAGGGTTATGTGAGGGTTGAAGGGGTTAGTGAGGAGCCTGTAATGAATGAATAATGGAGACTGTAACACCCTGTATGTGTCACACGCCGTGCGCGTTTATTCTCTCCTGCCTTCAGAATCAAGTGCTGAGCAATGTGCCCTTTCTTCCTGACAGCTGCAGCTCAAGTCTCTGGAGACATCAATGAAATAGCTGAGAATCAATAACTACAGTCTATCTGTCCACAGAACGTGCTGCAAGACACAGCAAACATAGATTTCCCTCCTCCAAGTGTTTATCTTAAACTGTGTGGCTTGTTCCATCACCAACTATGTGTCTCAGTTAGAAACTAATTGTGATTGCTCAAGGTCACCACCAGATACAGGTGTCATGAAAAGCCACCTATAGCACAGGCAAGTGACATCATGGTCTTCTAAGAACTCAAGCCACTACACAGCAGAAAAACTCACTCAAAAGCGAAACTGGCTGTGTGTGTTTTTCCAAAGATTGGCAGCTCTGAAGAAAAAGGCTGGCTTTTCAATGCTCATGTTGGGTTATTCTTACCCTTTCTGCCCAATTTTCCTTCTTTTTCCACTGTTCCCACCCCCAAAAAGAAAAATTATCTGGACTGAACGTAGAGCAGTCATGAAAAGTAAGGACATGCCCAGAAAGCTAAAGGGGCAGAGCAGAAACTATGACTCAAAATGACATTCTAGAGTTAAAGGTTGTACAGAATAATAAGGAAAGAATAAGGCCAGGGCTCCCCTCTAAGGGTGGCAGAGAATTAATGGTTGAAAGGCAGTTAAATGTATACCATGTACTTGTCCAAAGGAACACTAACCAACAAATATTCACAGAGTGGATTCACTGGGATACAGTAGATACACTGTACATACTCCATGCACTGGGTACACTGTGCTGGGAGCTGAGGAATAAGAAGTCATGACACTTGTAGAATAACCATCTACATCTACAGCTGTAGAGTAAAAGTCATGGTTCCTGATAGCCCATCAACCAGAATTTTCTAATAAAGGGACCTGTATGCTCCAGAGGGCAGTAGCAATTAGTGCTGCTAGTGACAACCTAAAGGCATTAATAGACGTGGGTCTGCCTTCCAAACCAGGCAGAAGTACAGTAGAAGATCAGAAACTAGGAACGGCTTGGATCTGACCTGTGCCCAACATACTCTCCTCAACCAGAAACAGCTGAAATCCCATGATGTTTAAAAAAAAAGAAAAAAAGATCCAAGCTCAACATTTTGACAACCTCCATATGTAAACATTCTCTTGAATCTGATCCATACATATTAATATAATATATATTATATAATATTATATAATATATACATATTAATATAATATATATTATATAATATTATA